TTTATTTTTTTTATTAAATGAATATAGCTGTTTAAGTATTAACACAAGAAGCATGTCGGCAAGACAAACAAAACTTATTCACTCATCATCAAATAGAAACTATGGGAGGACTAATAAGTACTTTGTTGTAAATAAGATTTTGCAATTTGACCATCTCCTCCTTTGGGGTAGAAACCTCCAGGCTTACGTTCGTCGCCACTTCCATATACAATTCTCAGTATTTCTTTTGGTGTTCTTTCAAATGCAATTGACTTGTCATTACCAACAACAATATTCCCTCCAGTTTTGCCTTCTGCACCACTTAACAATGGAACAACTAGTCCTTCATCTTTTATTCCAGAATTTCCTAATCGATTTCTCAGCTCTGATATCCTGTTTGTGAATTCTGCAACTGTTAATCCATAGGGTTGCACCTTCACATTTGCTCGCTCGTACAATAGTGCTCTAATAATTGCATCTTGTGCCGATTCCACACTCAGAAGCCCAGCTACAAGCTGCAATGCAAAACCAACATAACATAATAAGTTAATTAATTAAAACCGAAAGATGAACAGTAGGGACTACTTGAACACTACATCTGTACATACCCTCCTGGATTGAGAATGAGTAAGTTTAGGACTAGCTCCTACATAACCTGTTAGACCTACATAAGGAATAACGTAGGATGCCAGAAGAAAGTTAAGGCCATTAGCATACGGGTCGAAGGGTGGATTTAAGGTGTGACCTACAGCTTCGTCCATGACCTTTGCAAATGAACCCTTACTCAAGTCTATCAATGGCCTTGGAAACCCTGGAACAGCTTCTTTAATTGCCCTGCACCACCACATATCAGCATTACTCAATCAAAATATCAAATTGCAAAAGATATTTATGTGTTGGTTGGTAGAGAACAAGCTAGAGATGTATGTACTCTGTACGTACCTTAGATGTCCCACTTCTTGAAAAGCAAATTGGACCATGATATCTTTAACAAAAGGGTCTAAATTGGCCTTAGTGACCCCAATAGGGGGTGGTCCTCCGTTGGCTAAATACGGGGCAATTCTATCTAACCCATATCCAAAAGAACCCCACAAGAAGAACTCAGCTTCCAAATACTCTAAATTTAGTGGGAATTCTAAAAGAACTTTGTCAGAAGATGAAACATTAAAGTAACCATATGATGAACTTGTGAAGAAGAAGAAGAAGAAAAATGTAAACAGCAACAAAGAAGATGGTGAGTTTCTTGCCATGTTGATGATCATTGATAGATTAGCACTACTGGTAACAATTGCACTCACTTGCAGAGTTTTGTTTACTTATAAAGAAGATGATCTAAGGTAGCTAGCTATACATAAGGGGGCACCAACTGTATTGACAAGAAAATAATAAATCGGATCAAGTAACACGTGGATGTTTGCTTTGATTAAAAAATAAACACGTGGATGTTTAAATGTTTAATATAGACAGAAAACAAGTCTAATTCATCTCCATCAAATATGAAAGCCAATTGTCAGTTTGTCACATTATTGAATTAGCTTGGCTTGGCATGGCATCACTTAAATTTAGCTTGGCTTGTACATGTGTCTTAAAATAATAGGCCAGACTGTAGTTGAACCCATTGTTGAAAATGCCGAAAAATGGCGAATATCCGATTTCTGAAAAATCGGAATTTTTAACCGGAATATACCGGCCCTTTGTTAGAATGGTGAGGTTGATATTTT